GATAATATAAAAATGCTTAAAATGTAAAAGTTTGAGAAAATTCTCATCTTAAAACATTAAGCGGGTAAAAATTGAACTTGATCGTTCATCTTAAGTAGTGTTACACTCGGTACATGCAAATTGAGGTTAAGACGCACATAATACTCAACTGAAGAAGCATATTTATGTTTAAAACTAGGTATTTAGTAAAAGCCTCATCGACCAATAGGGATACACTGCATATTTAGTTTGGTTAGTACATGTATATTCAAAGCAAAAAAAAAGTTTCCCACAATTTTTTCTTTTAGCAAAATTTTGATGATCTTGATAATTGATTCAAAATCATATGACTATAAAAAAGAAAAAAATTTTTTTTTATCATTTTCTGAGAATATTTGGACATGTCCAAGCGCACAACAGAAGATTTTGAAACTTCGGACGATACGGTTGTCACAAAGGCGCCTTTCGACAGGCTTGGCCAAAAACATGAGTCCTTGAAAGAAGAGAAAATGGGCGAATTCGAAGATCCATGGGAAGACGAGTATGAAGAAGAAATAATTGAGAATGCCGAATCTGATATTGAGGACGAAGATGGTAAGTTCTATTAGTACCATAAATTATACTTTGACACGTGTAAATTAAGCTGTAAATCAAAATTCAATATTATTAGCTACGATGAAAAATTAACATCGAGCCCTTTTTTTAAAAAAGTTATGGAAATCGAAGAAAGTGGAGAGCAGGTTTATCTTCCTGGTCAGGAACTTGGCAAAGATGAGACCCTAGAAGCTGATCAGTCGGCTTATGAGATGTTGCATTCTCTAAATGTTAAATGGCCATGTCTTAGTTTTGATGTCCTGAGGGATGACCTTGGCGAGGAAAGAAAAACGGTTCGAAATCGTTCACGTTAGTTATTATGATTATGGTGCAACAATTAAAGTCGCGTTTGTTATTAATAGTTCCCCGCGACCTTATATATTGTCGCCGGTACGCAAGCCGATAAACCGAAAAATAATGAATTGATGGTGATGCAGATGTCTCAACTTCATAGGACCCAGAATGATGATGGTAGTTATTGACACGAGATTATATGGGTGGATTGTCAAAGTAAACAAAATCTTAGAATTGTTTTTTTTTCCAAAAGATGATTCTGGCAAAGACTCGGATGATTCTGATGAAGAGGCATTGGATGAAGATCCGATATTAGAATCCAGAAGTTTAAAGCATTATGGAGGAGTTAATCGCGTTCGAGTAAGCAGGAAATTGACACGATCACATATTTTGGTCATATCTCGTTCCCGTCTAATTTAAATGTTATAAAGGTGATGCCTCAGAAAGACTGTCACATAGCGGCATCTTGGGCTGATACTGGCAAAGTTCTTATATGGGATCTGAAACCTGCAATAAGATCATTAGACGTGTCTGGTGAAAAGATCTCGCAAAAGGCATTGAAACCACTTTACACCGTTGAAAGCCATAGCGCTGAAGGTTTTGCGATGGACTGGTCAGCGACAGTAGCAGGAAGGTGAATTCTTAACGTAGATTATAAATTTTGTTTATTATAAAATATTGAATTAAATGTGCTCTTGACAGACTCCTAACTGGTGACACCCGCACGCATATCTACCTCACAACTAAGTCACAATCTGCATTTCTGCCTGACCGAGACCCCTTCGTCGGTCACACATCCTCTGTCGAAGATTTGCAATGGTCACCGGTGGAGAAGGACGTGTTTGCAAGTGCATCTGCCGATCAGACAATACGCATATGGGACACGAGAAACAAAAAGAAGGATGCTTTGTGTATCAAAGCTCATGATGCTGATGTAAATGTCATATCTTGGAATAGGTTGGTGTACAATACTTTGGATATATTGAAGCGTATGGCGAAAAACGCGTTTAACTTACTTATTTTACTTGATAGGAAAGTAAATTATTTGCTCGCTTCAGGTTCAGATGATGGCGTGATAAGCATCTGGGATTTACGTACTTT